TAACCTTGTTCACATAACTGTTCATATATTTATAACCAGCATGGTCGGTTGCAAGTGCTGGCATGCATCAGAAAAAGTATCAGGTAGTAAAGAACAAAATGTCTCTAGAAAAGAACATACTGAGCTTAAACTAGCACTGCATTTATATAATGTCATATTTATCAAAATATATATTTTTTTACTTTGAGGAAAAAAAGAGAGTTTATCTGATTGGGAAGGAAGTTTTTTGAATCGGTTTGCATTCCTTTCCACGTCAGGAATTCTTAGAGCAGCTCACAACTGCAAAGCAAGAATGGACAAGTAAAGAGGGTAAAGAAGCTGTCTTTTGAATTTTCACAGCGTTTATGATGACTATCGATAATCATAAAAAACAGTGACGCAGACGAACGCACTCGCAGTTTGCCTGCAGGCCTTTTTGTCAGACATGATCTCTAAGGTGTGGTTACCAGTTTTAAAAGGGTGAGGTTTAACCCAAACCGTGATCTTTATCTAAATCTGATCACACTGCAGCTGAGAACTGGAAATAGGATAAGGGAAAAGAACGCTTTTATGCCAGACAGCCTTGCTAGCGGAAAGCCCTGAAGGCAAACTTCTTTCAGGAAGACGCAGGAAAGAAAGAGGAATAGATATTTGCCCCACTTTTGCAATTCAAACAGAGCAAGTGAAATTATCAGCACAAACAATCTCTGCACAAATAATGAATATAATAAAGAACACTGTATATTAATGGGTGTGGGTGTGAAGTTGTATTATTGATAACAAAAAGTTATCACAGTAAGCACATGGCGGAGATTATGTTTTTTATTAGTGGTTGGGCTTAGCCACATGGTAGTTATGCATATGATTCAAAGCAAGGGAATAAATGTTAGTCACTAACAAATACATGATATACATGCTAATGGAAGGCATTTGCTCAAGTGGAACAGCTTTGATAATATTCCTGCACTCTATGTATACATCTACCTAATACTACATATAGTATTTCCCAGTGATTCCAGTAAATCACTGAAGAGTTAGTGTCGTGGAACTGTAAAATAACAACAAATGAATTTTGTTTGTGTAGTGCAGAGTATATCCAATTCCTTGTGACAATAATTCATAAAAAATAAGAACAAAACTGTCTGAGCCTGTGTGGAAATACTGAGTAATCTGGTACTTTTAACCATTTTCCTGTGTTTTCTATGTTTTGCACTTCTGTATTCCTCTGCAAGCCACCTCATGACTGTCACAAAGCTTGGGCTGAAAGTCCATCTCTATGAGTGACAAGGTTATTAATGTTTGTGCAGTAAATGTGAGTCATTAATCTTGTGGCTGTGTTTCTGTGGATCTGTACTTCGGGTGTAGATTATGTGTGCATGTTTATGTGTACTGACAGCACATTTTGAGCTGAATTGGATGGCTCGTCCATTGCTGATAGTAGAGGTGCTCCCGTGACAGTTTCTGAAAGGAGCTGCTGATAGTACAACCCATCTGAGCGACCTTGATACAAACCGAAAACCCTTCGTACCTTGGCTCCTCTGGCGACAAACGCCTAACACTTAGACATCAGTTACATTAATTACGAAAAAAGCATATCTTTTTAAAATTGTGACAAAGTGCCTGTCCTGTGTGATTCAAGCATCCATCTATTTGTTTTCTTCAGCTTATTCACAAGCATATGCCTACCAAATGCAGAAGTGGTTATTAGTCACGGTTTTTGCTTCCAGTTGTCTGGAAATCAATTACATCCACAAAATTGTCACACAAAACTCAGCTGATGAATCATCTAATGAAAATGTGGAAGTTTTTATTTTTATTCTAAGAAATAAATGGTACTAAATTGAATTAAAATGACAGAAAGGCAGCATTTCTTTTTATTCAACCCATGCGATGTCCATGAGGGTAATTGATGCATATTTGTATCTGTGTAATGCCATTTAGAACTGAGATGGTAAACATGGAAATGAGCTTGGATAAAAATCATTTTAGATTAGTGTGGGACCCGGTTGAGCTTGAAAAATACAGCCTACCTAAAAAAGACCCAAAGACCTAAAAAGAATGAAAAGAGTGTGTGTCTGTATGTTTGTGTCTGTTTTTCCACACATCGACCTATTTTTTACAACAAAAGACTTTTTAATACCTGTGTCACCCCAGGCACAGCGCAATTAAAATCCAATACTCTCCAGGAGTCCATAACATGCTGGGTTTACTGACAGCGAACAGAGCTCAAATGGCCAACAGAGAAGGGGCAATAGGTTTTATGTGAAGAGCACAGAAACACAACGATGGAAAATATGATCACAGTGGTTGCACTCCAGGCAAATGAACATCCTTTAAATGCACTGACAGACAGCTGCTGTGAAAACCGCTGTCAGTTCAGCTTCACAGATATTCAAAAGATATACACAGATGGGAATTCCTTGGAGGGCATGCCTACTGTTTTTGTGATTGCAGACAATGAAACATGGACAGGATAATTGGGTGACATTAAATAGGCTTGCTTATTTTTTTTTCCTGGTGTAATTCACATGATTGATAGTGGAGCTGACAAAGTAGCTTATTGTGATCTATGACCTTCTGTTTTATTGTGATAAGGTCTTTTATCTATAATGACAAGAGCTAAAGAGGAAGTAAGGTCACATTGTTATACAACCACAAAAGCTATCTAAGAAAGAGCTTGGGGTGAATGAATGGATCAACAAAACTATAACTACTAGGCTTTAAAACTATAACACAGGAGAGTGATGTTTATTTTTTGAGTTTTAAACCGAGGGAACTATGAGCACATGTTTATTTCCCCACCCATAGCAATGTTTTTTTCTTCCTTAAACTCCATCAAGCAATCATTTTTTCTCAACCTGGACTAACTGGACCATTCTATTGAATTTGGACATGCACGAAAAAGTAATTTGGAGTTCTGGATCTTAGAGTTTGAGTGCATTTTGCAATAGGTGTAACTAAATCATGTCTCTTTGACCAGATAGTCCATCTTTATTACAATATTGTGAAATGTTTATTATACTTACTAATAAATAAATAAATAAATAAATAAATAAATAAATAAATAAATAAATAAATAAATAAATAAATAAATAAGACATGAATAAATGACATCATTCATTTTCCAGCGTCATGTAGTTTCTACCCCTCTCACTTTAATGCTGACTTTCACTTTCAGTTCAAACACCACTGTTTGTCAACTGGTCTTACAGGAATGGCCCACTGGCGAACATTGTTGTTAAATAGTAAGTGGAGTAGGAGCAAAAGGTCACAACTAACTCAACAGTAACATGGAGAATATAATAAATGTAAGTTTTTTGTTTTTTTTGACTTGTCTTAAAAACTCACTAACACCCAATAGGCACGATACTATGACAATGCCAAACAGTTCTCATACATCCACAGATATATTTAATATAAAACTCCCAGCCCTGGTAACATTAAACATGATTTAGGTAGAATAGACTGACAGTTTAAAAAGAATTAGACAATCTCTATTCACTGTTGAGATCACTCCACATAGACGGTGTAGATTTTTATGGTTCAGTTCAGTTCAATTCAATACAATTTTATTTATATAGCACCAAATCGGAACAACAGTCGCCTCAAGGAACTTTATTATTCTGAGATAAAGACCCTGCAACAATAAGTAGTCAATGGTGAATCAGTGGTGAATACATGTTTTATGTTTGCATCTTTAGGACTGTCTAGGCCTCCAGGGACAAAATAAAGAAACGAAAAGAAAAGAAAGGAAGACTAATCCACGTGTCCCTATTGCCTACATGTCGATTGCACTATTACAAATCATTTTTCTTGCATATGTAAATCAATGCAGGCAATATTTCCATTAAAAGCTGCTCGTCCTTATTAATTCAAATTATGCATTTTAGACCCATTAAGCATAGTGTAGCTTAAAAACAGAGAATTTGCTGTACATTTTGCCATTATTGCTCAGGCTTAAAAGCTACTAAAAGCTGTATAAGTAGGCTATACGAAATAAGGTACACATCAGTCCATGGCACTGTTCATCTGAATTTGCGCCTTGGGGCTATTTAGGCACCACTAGTAGCAAGTGCAGCTGACAGGGTCACTTCTAAACGTCGCCCTAGCGGAGGAGGCAACGACTCTATGGACGGCTAACTTCAGAGGGCTACTTCACTGCTTTACTGTATGTCACGGGCTGTATAAATATGGGGTCTCCCCTGTGTGGATCACACAGTTGCGCAAGACTCTGATGGATCATTTTCAATTCAGCGATCCTCTCTGGGTAGATGTGGTATAGTACAGTAGGTAGTTGTAGAGAAGGGTCTGTGCGTGAGTGTGTTCGTTTGTGTGTTCTTGTACTCCTAGAATAGACAGCCAGAGGAAAGAGAAGAGGGAGAAGAAGGAGAAGAAGAGAGGCGGGATCGGTTTGTGTCTTGTTGAAATCCCGGGTGAAGCAAATAGATCGTCTGGAATAGATCGATCAGCAGTTCGCGTTCCCTCCGTGGATTTGATGGATGTTTGATCAGTGGATGTGATGCCCATATATATCATCGACCGTAAATTTCCCGACATATCTGGTAAGTCGCTCACGCAAACCAAGCGCTCTTGTAAAGCTGTGCCATCTGTGTGCGTCGGCGCCTCTATGTGTGTGTGTGTGAGCGTATGTGTGAGTGTGCGCGCGTGTGTGCGCGCGCATCGGTTTTGCTTGTGCGCCCGTGCTGCTTCAGTGACACGGGGCAGCGTGCACCAGTTGATCATGCCACCCCCCTCGGAGTTTCTGACGTGCAACAGGAGATGAGGAGCTGGCACGCATTTCTCGGTTGCGAAGCACGGTGTGTGCGCTGAGGCTTATTTTTTCCCCCACCATAGTTTAAAACTTAGATGCATTTGGTGCGTCAAGAAAACACTGTTCCAGCTGGGTATCCTCTAACCTCTCTGTGATACTAGTGCACTGTATTCCAGCTGTGTGCGGACTGGTGGTGTTGCTGTAAGTTTGGTGTTATATCCCTTTAAAAGTTATTTTTACTGTTGCATTCATACTGCTTTTGCAAAAACCATTTGGACAGCAATTTAAGAGGTGGACTTCATCTCATCTAGATCACAGCACTTTTGCGCACAGGGACTCTTCACTCAAAGATGATTTTAGTCTTCAGTGTGCAGCTATAGGCCCCGCGCTAAAAATCATATCCCAGAGAAGGTGTTATTTTCAGTTAAAGTAGGCCACATTCCTCCATGTATTCAAACCCATTTAGACTCTGGACATATTAATTGCTCACATGTATGTAAGTTGTAAAAAAAAAAAGTGACTTTGCAAATAGCGTTGTGTCGATTGTGTATGTGTGCGTGTGCGTATGGGCACATGGGTGTTTTCAGGTGTCTCAGTGAATGATGGGTTTAATTTTGAAGGGGTTTGTGTGGTCTCACAAGATTTGGGCTGTTTATGTTTTAGATATATCAAGAAAGGCAGACAGAGTGGGAAAAAAATGAGTTTTGATTTTTGTGGCTCCTTTCATAAACTATTATCTTAAAATACAGACACAGCAGTGCATACTTTTCAAATACACTCTGAGCCACAGCATTAGAAAAAAAAAAATTGACTGCATCCTGTAACTGGAGTAGCAACATTTAACATGGATTAGGTGTTCTCTGTCACACACACTGACAGAGTAAACATCTTTAAAAGCATCACTGTCACTGCTAACAGGTCCCCTTAACCTAACCAGATCCAATGTTAATGAGCAAATGAGAATAACCTTACTTTATAGTTGTAGCCCCAGAAACACAGCAGTAAGCGTAATGACAAATAGAACACGAGTGGGACAGTATTAGTGCTCCTATAGGACTCCGTTAAACGTGCCTGGATACACTTTTAGGGAGTCACTCAGGACCTCTCAGTGTCCTGCTCAGTTTTTCTTGCACCTTTTCTTCCTCTTGCTCTCAACTCTTTTTTCACATTCCTTCACTGCGTCTTTATGTTCAGTTTCCCTTTTAATATATTTTGCAGACATTCGACTTCTTGGCATGCAAAGTGTCAGGAAGCGTGGCTGAATATAATATACAACCTCTACAATGCTGACATGCACACATGGTTTTATTAGAGCTGTGGGACTGCTGTCACAGTGATGTGTGTGTTCGCAGACAAAGTTTCTGCCCCCTCCTGCAGTCTGAGCGGGGTTGACAGGAAGTTGCGACTAACATATCAACTTGTGTCATCGTACTGTCTCATCTCCTTTTTTTTATCTTTTCAATCACTTGTTTCCCCCCCATATTTTCCCTTGCCTTTATTACAGTTGTAGAAACAAATCCAGTTGCCACTTCCCTGTAGTAAATCTTGGTGATGTCTTACATGCTTTGGTTTCAGTGTAGAGTTGGGAAAGCACCCTGCCTGTGGGGATCTGTGCTTGGTGTGTGTAATAGTGGCTTATCATGCTAGATAACAGCCATAACCTCAGAGGTTTACTTTACCTCGGGTTATTGTTTAGTCATGAAGTAGATTGATAGGTGAATTTACATCCAGCAAGACTGTGGTTACATTTGATAAATGTGGATTGGGGGTGTGTGGGAGTACAGGACATGATGTGTGTCTGTAGTTGTCTGTTCGTTCAAAGAAAGTTAGGAGACTTTGTCCTTTGGTCACGCAGCGCTCTCATCTCAGCCTGCATGTGGCAAGACCCACCCATCTGCATAGACACCTCATGACACTGTAGCTTGTAGTGTGTATGAGAGCATGGCTGTGGATGAGTGTTTGTGTGCAGTCACTGAATGAGTGCATGTCTGTGCAGCGTTGTTAAAGGATTAAGGATTAATTGCCTTCAGAGATAGACTTAACTACTTGTTTCATGAACTTTGTAAAGTTCTCACTTGGCCCCGGAGAGGAAAACAACACTGCATAGAGAAGAGCAGAGGAAAGGTTCTGCTTGTTTTCTGTTCTTCAGAAGTGTGTGCTTCCTTCTCTGTTTTTGCGTTTTGTTCTTTTGTTTTTGTTTTTTTTTCTTTTGCTTTCCTTTTTTTTGTTGTTGGGAGCGTACAGTCACCAGGGTAAGAACTTCCATTATTTTCACCTTTCACTCCAAGAAAAAAAAAGTTTTTACGGTTTCTTTTTTCCCCCTCATTTGTTTTCCTAACATTGCCGTGTCTTTTATCTCCTTTTAACTGTTTCTTTCTTTTTTCTGCATGTGCCTAAGAAAGCAACAAAAAGATTCAACTAATACCTTTCATGTTAGAAAAGTACATGGTCCAAAAAAACAGAGAAAAAAAAATTCCCAAACTTTAAGGTTCCCAAAGACTGGGATTTTTAGTTCTACTTATATTTTTGGCTCACTGCTATTATCTGAATCCATTCATTTTGTTATATTTAGATTGAATTATTATTTTTACATTAAATTATTGAATCATTTCTAATAAATTAAAGCAACATTTGCCACAAAACTGCAAAAATGTCCCAATGTGCCAACATTAAGTTACTTATTTTGTGCAACCAGTGTACACAAACTACAAACGTCAGCATATATGCATTTAAAAGTTTTTGCTTACTAAATCAGAATTTGTTGCTCATTAGAATAGCTGCTGATTAGTTTGCTCTCAGCTGACTAATCATTTCAGTCAAAACTCCGTAGGTGAGTTGATACAGGCGGCAGTTGAAGAAGGAGTGCCAAGAATGACAGAGACCAACACCCCCAAGTCGGCTAAGAAGCTCCGATGGACCTCCCTGGAGATTGGCCTCATTACTATTGTCTCCCTGCTCTTCATTGTCATCATTGCCCTCATCATCCTCTTTGCCACACAGAAGACGGGTGAGTGATCTAACACAGAAGACTGATAAAGATAAATAAGAAATATCGAAAACCTTGAGTAGCTCAAAGGACAAACATTTTGGGTTTTTTTGTCAGGCTCATGCTGATGAAGGTTTTCTGCACCTAACAAAATCCTTATCAATACAAATGCATCAAGTAATTAAAAATACTTTTGACAGTCACCGAGTGTTACTGAGCATTTTTTTTTTCATCTTAACCAAACTTTTCCAAACTTTTCAAGATTGCCTTTAAACTGTGTACATGGAAGGACAATTGCTTTCAACTGAGTTCATGGTTAATGGTGAGCACAAAGAAGCCTGCTGAAGAGCAGCACTTTGTTCAGGTGATAGATGACACTTGAGCTGTGTACTTTAAAAACACAGTGCAGAAGTGCAGTCACTGAGACAGAATGAAGAAAACACTCTTAAAGGTCCTTTTTTTTAAAAGTTTCCATTGTGTTTTTTGGCACCTTTGTACACCCATTGTACGAAATCTGACCTCAGATGAGAATATATGTAAATATATTTTGATGTTTATTTCAAAACAGAAGAAATTATGATAAAAGGACACTGAGAAAACCTTTCTTTGCCAGTGGAAGCCAAATAAGTTTGTTTCATTTGTCAGTTTTTTAACATATACATGAATTTTCGTGCTTTTTTATGTTCTTTATGATTTATTAAACTGTCACTTGCACATGACAGAAGGCTCATTTTACATAATATTAGGAGTTTCACTTATATCACTGCAGATCCAGGGTTAATGGAATGTGGCACAAGCTATGTAGGAATAAATTAACAGTGATAATAGGAAGCTTATTTATAGATGTACAGATTAAATAATAATAAAAGGAATGTGAAAATTTGCAGGTTTAGAAAACAATCATCTAACAGAAAGAGGAATCAAATTAAGTTTGAGGCTTTTATAGCATTTTGCTTCATAAATGTGTAAACTACCAAGTCATGAAGATTAAAGTTCAACACCTTGTTTGTGCCCGTTCATGCACATAGCTGTGCGCACATCATGTGCAATTCCACATAACTCATGAAGCATTCTGTTCAAGGTCGTACAGTACTTTGTTTCTTGTGTCAGACTGAATTTCATTAACACTTTACCATCTAAATCATTCCTGATAGTGAGAGTTACACACGTTATTTGCAAGAAGAAGAACAAATAAACAAAGGAACTGAGAGAAAATGGAAGTGAAGTAAGAGGAATAGGATATGACATCATGACTGATAGCTGCAAAAATCCCACTGAGTAATGATTTGTTTTGCATTTTCTGTAGATGAAATCTGCACCACAGCGGACTGCACACAGTCAGGTAAGCAGTGTTTGTTTGTGCATTCTCTTTAATGGCTCGTTCCGCAGGCTTTGATTCTTCTCAAGGGAAGACGGAGAAGATAGGAAAACTGAGTTTGCCTCATGAAGCCCAGATACATTCTTGGAGAAATTGTCACTTCAGATTCTCATAGGAAACAGAAGCTGAGAAACTGGTAATTCGTTAAGCGGGTATAGATGAAGCAAAACAGTCCAAAGCTGAAACTTCTTTTTCTCAGCATATTAAGATTTTGTTATGGAGTTCATTATTTCAACTGTAAATATTCTTTGACCACGTCTCCAGCAATAAGCAATCTTGTATAACGTTTATGAATATCACACAAAGCTGTTGTCACACAACCAATTTTTCTTATCTTTCTCTCTCTCTTCTTTTTTTATCATGATTCCTGTCAGTGAACATGACATTTTTACTAAAATTGTAAGAGTAGCTCCCAACATCTCTGTTGTTATCCTTAAAAAAAAGAACCCCTGCCTCTCTCTTCATCTATACTAACATAAAACATTATTACTTTATTTTTTCACATTGTTAAAAACATCTCATAGGAGAGAAAAATACATGAAATACAAGTTTAACTGGTTAAAACTCTACCTCCCGTTTCTAGCAACAGATGCTGATTCATTTTTGATGCATTTTTGGGGAGCTGGTGTCCCAGTTCAGTCAAATTTGACAGACAGCCTTGTCACAGGAGATCTCTGAGCTGCCTTGTGGAATTTAATTGCAGTTTAAAAAAAAGTATACATCTTTCGTGTACCGGTGCTAAGCTGAACTCAATCACTGTCATTATACCGCTTTTTTTCCTTTTGCATTGCTGCAAATGTTACATTTATACCAGAGAATTGTATTTTTGTATCTTCTTTTGTTGAATATTATGCTACTGCAACAGCAAGCATTTCAGGTTTTAGGGAGATCATGATTGCAAATGCTCTTTTCTTTTTACAGGTTATTCAGTGACCTACAGAAAGAGCCCTAACAATTCCTACCTTCGTTCTGCTTAGTCAATGTTCTCTGTGAAGTTTCAGCATTTCAGTGTTTTGAAGTATTTTTCACTGTCTTGCTGAATCGTATGTGAAAAGATGCCGTCAACCATTTATAATGCCTCAGACAGCTCATATCTTTAGTTTTATATAACAACTGAAAACATGGAAAGATTTTCACAGATCACTTATCAATGTGTTATATCACATTATTTCAAGCCATATAAAAATGGAAACACTGGCTACTATATCATGTTAACTGGAACTTCAAGTTGCCATCTGCCATTATCCACCTAAATTGCAGTGATTAAGAATGGACATGTGTGTTCAAGGAGAATATCAGTTCAGCTGACAGTTATTTATGAAACAAAATTTGATCTGTGTTAGTCTCTGACCTATTTTTCTGCTTGTTATCCATCTATTTGTGCCATCTATGACTGGGAGAAGGGCAGGTTGATCTGCTTTTGGGGAAACCCAATAAAATTAGTTTCAACTTTTTGGTTATTTAACTTAACACACTTCACCTGCTTGCTGCTACTACTGCACATTCACCCAATGTATATACTACATATATATATATATATATATAATGTTCTTCATCAACCCCCCATTTTATTTTTGCACATGTCGAGGAGCGTGTCAGGCTACATTTCACTGTGTGTTATACTTGTATAACTATGCATGTGACAAATAAAGAACCTTGAACCTTGAACATTTACGGGATTTCATTTACTGTATATTTTCTGTTTTCAGCCTAATATTTAGTCTTTGAATGCATTTATTTTTATTAAATCTAAGTTAACAATGGTTTTATTATTAAACAAAAATGTGTTCACATCAGTAATACTCAAATAAGTCCCTTTAGTGTAGCCTGCAGCTTGTTAGCTTTTTGCTGTCAATACATTTGTCCAAATATAGTGCAATGGTAGGTTTCACTGACTTGCACTTGTTGAAAAAACTATACAGCACTATACACAATTTTGAATACAAATTATAGGTTGCATATACACTGTCATATATTTGTTGGTTATTTTTTACTGAAACTGTATATCCTTAAACAATGGCTTGCTTATTTCTGTATTCCTTCATTTCATGGAGTTTGTTTCCTCTCTGTCCATGCAGCGTCTCGTCTCATTGAGAACATGGACGCTAACGTGGACCCCTGTGACAACTTCTACCAGTATGCCTGTGGAGGGTGGCTTAAAAAGAACATCATCCCTGAAACCACCTCTAGATACAGCACCTTTGACATCTTACGAGATGAACTGGAGGTCATCCTCAAAGGTCAGACACCTACACACACCCGCGCAAGCAGATGCACGCACAGAAAGACAAGCAGGCAATCAGACCAAAGTGTTTATACAAATCCAATTCTGAAAAAGTTGGGACGCTGTGTAAAACAAAAGTAAAAACAGAATGCAGTGATTTACCAATGTCATAAAGTTGTATTTATTTCACAATTGAACACAGAAAACATATCAAATGTTTAAACTGAGAAAAATCTGAAGAAATCTCTGGAAATCATTGAAAAGGCTTATGATCACTTCCAGAAACCACTGTCTGTGAACACAGTTCACCATGCCATCCACTAATGCTGACTAAAGCTCTGTCGTACAAATGTGAAGCCGTGTGTCCATGATGCAGAAATGCCAACATCTTCTCTAGGCCAAAGCTCATTTAAAACAGATTGAGTCTAAGTTCTGTAGTCAGACAAATTGAAATTTGAGTTGTGTACTTTAAAAACACAGTGCAGAGGTGCACTGAGACAGAATGAAGAAAACAGTGTGCAAAGGTCTCTGTTTTAGTTTTCCATTGTGTTGAAATTATTTCTGGAAAACATGGATGCTGTGGCCCCCTGACAAAAGGAGAGAGGGGCCGTCCAACTTGTTGGATTCAAAAGTAGCCAACATTTGTCTTAAAATTAAGCAATTTCTCAATTGAAACATCTGATATTCTTTTATATTCTATTAAATAAAATTCTGTTTGTCTTTAGATTCTTTTGGAATTAGGGTTGTATCAAAGCTTTTAGCTTATGAAAACTTCTGAAGCACTCGCACAATACGTTCTTATTGGTCTACTTTTTGTAGGACTGAGGACAGCTTGACTTGGTTTCTCTAGTTTACATGTAAGGAGGACTGTCCATCAGGGACCGCAGCTCTATAGATATCATTGATGCCACGGGGGCTGGGAGTTTGTTGGCATTATCAATATGTGTGCATGTGTGTGAGCGTGAGCTGTTTTCTAAAGATCCCAACACATTATGATGAAAAAAGCACAATTTAAGCATTGCATGTGTGAGTGCGCCCCAAGTGTATTGTAGGTTTTTAGTAGGCATTAGAGTATAGTGTCCTTGTTACAAAAAAGGCAGTTAAAGTGCAAATGTGTTTGCAGATTTGAGCATGTGTGTACATATAGGTCCATGCTTCATTTCAAGTTGTTTGCATGAAGGTTGGCAGAGCCCTTTGTTTCAGGGTGCTAAATATTTATGGGACACAAACTTTCCATGGAAAATGAAAACTCTTCATCTGCCATAAATTTAGAAATGTATATATCAGTACCTTTCTCTGTAATAAAAACAGTGTGGAGTGGCTGCAGGAGAAACAGAGTGATTAGAGAGGATGAGAAAGATTAATCCTTATTGGGAAAGGAAAAATGGGGTTTAAAGTGCTGCTTGTCTTGTGGACTTTGCAGCATCCTTGAGTAATCCATTTGTCCAGTCTTGATGGATAAACACACTGTTTAGTGCATTGGGACAGTATCGTCTTTCTTTTGCTTTCTACCCTGATATTTTCAGTTGGTGAGATTTGTTTCAAAACATAAAACTGATTGTGGATGTGAATGAAGTAATTTTTGCATTTAATCCAAAATGAAGTATATATTGTCTGCCGTCTGTTACAATGATTTATCATGCTATGCTATTTTTAAAGTGAAAAGCTTTTCTTTTCTAAAACTTTTTTGTTTTGGAAAACAAATTCTTTAATTTTGTTACTTTTTCTTTACTTCTTGATCAACACCTTTTTACCAATCAATAGAACATTCATTAGGGTTTAGAGATTGCCTTGTAACATAATGATCATTTATTTATATACCTTTGTTCAGAGGGTCCTTTTAGTGGTAGAATTGCATCATTATTTCTTCTGTGTAGTGTAATTATAAAAGTGTATTGCTGAAATTCTGCCTCTTACGCCTTCACAGTGATTTTCTTGAACACGGGATTCTCAGAGGTACTGCAGGGATTTTAAATTAGACTTCTAACAAACAGCTTAGGGATGGTATAAAAAGCAGTGCACATTAACTTATTCGGACTGCACAACTCACAGCCATTCATTTCTGCTTTATTCTGTCTTCTCAATGACAGTATAAGCACTCATAAAAATCACACAAAGGGGGCAAGAAGGAAACATTTCTCAACAAAGACTCATTTGACCATTTGAAAATGCTATTGTATGTGCCGTTATGCACATTGCATGGCTCCGTGTGGGTTTGCGGCATGACTTTACACATACAAAATATGCTTACTCTTGTATTGTTGCTGAGACCTGGCTGATTTATCAGGTCTTGCGCTAATATCTGCTGCATTACTATAAAAGGAGAAAGGAAGAAAGCAAGTTTTGGCAGAAACACTGGGCAAAGTGCAGTGGTTGATGTTTTACAATCATTGACTTAATTGCTCTAAATGCTGTGCTTACCACAGAGAGACATGAGGTTCCAGTCATTCATCAGATTAAATCCCCAACAGCAGTCAGTGTTGCGCTCATTCCTTCAGCTTGTCACAGTAGGAACGTCTCAGACTGCACTGTATGCACACATGTTCAGGTTTACTTTCTGTTTGCTTCTCTGTGTAAGTCCTTTTTTTTTCATTTAAAAAAACAAAAGAAAAACACAACGCCTTGGATCTGAAGTGCACATTCTATTGTTTTGAAGACTTATAGCCATAAAACCTTTGCCCCTAAAACGTTTCTATTGACTAAATATGTAAGAAGGCAAATTTACTGTAAGTGTGAGACCTAAGAGTTGTGACCTCTGCTCTGAGGTCTCAAATATAAGACCTCTGATCTTAGGCCTGGCTGCCGATGCTTACTTGGATACTACCGCCTACTGATGAGCACATCCTTTTCCTGTCAACAGCTGCAGGGGCCTGAAAACACCTGGATACCACAGAGCTCTAGGCTCTCTGACATGCAATAAAAATGACTCCATCTATGTGTATGTGTGTGAATAGCTGTGTAGATTTGTGGCTGCTTGTAAATGCCTTGGATTGTTCTCAGATGCTGTAAAATGCTGTAATGATCCGTAATGAGGATCTGCACCCTGAATGTGACCACAGCTGTGTGTACGTAGGTGCATGAGGCTGGTAGAATTTTGTTTTTCAGTTCCCCCTCCTCAGGTGTGGCATGCTGTGCAATAATTTAACTAATTGACCGTGACTCTTTTAATTACTAACTAGTTTGTTTCAGGAAGGAACAAACTAGTTAGGAAGGAACAAAGGCAGGTATGTGTGTGTGTGTGTGTGTGTGTGTGTGTGTGTGTGTGTGTGTGTGTGTGTGTGTGTGT